TAACCTGCCTTTGTACAGCCCTTTTATAGTTTACAGTGTCTTCTCTACATACACTTTAATTCTCACAAATCACCTTATGATAGAGAGAGGCAGTGTTCTTCCCATTTTCTACAGGAGAATATTTTCTTGGATCTGTTACTCAATAACTAGAACTATATTAGAATCTTTCACCTGTAATAGATTCCGAGGGTAGCGTTACAAAGTCACCAGAGTACTTACTGTTCAAAATAACCTCACTAGTTTATTTACTAACGGTATCTGGATACCAATTATGATTTAATAACGCATGCTTTTGGATTATCTACCAGTGGGTAATTTGCCTTATTAGCTGTTCATTTACTTCTTGATTAATTTTCTTGACAATATTTGTATTTGTTAATATTTTGTTAAGGGATAATGGAGAATGTGAGATTTGATATATCACTTGAGTTAATATTTTTAAAGTTTTTTGAATGGCATAGTAATCCAGATTTGGTATTTTGTTTAAAATGAAAATGCAATGTAACAGTGAAAGAAATTGAGAAAAGTGCAGTAAAACTGGTCGGTCCAAACAGTTTAATGAATGAGTTATTTTAAACTTTAGTGAACTATTTAAACAGTTTCAATTAAGAGAGAGAAATTTCCTGATTCATTCTTACAAAGCCACTTACAACACTGATTCCAAAATTTGGCACACACGAACAATAGGCTAATCTCAAGATGGATATTTTGCTTAAGTATAGTAATAAGGGCTAATACTTACGGTCTCTCACCCTTGCCAGGCCCTATTTGTGATAATGGATTTTCTCTTGTGATTCTCATAATAACCCTGTATGGTATGGCAACTGTTGTTAACCTTATTTTGTGCTGGGCTCTGGATCTCTGTTACACAATCCTTGTTTTAATACGTCAATTCCTGAAGTCATTTAAAGTGTACTTTGGATACTGGTAGCACTGGTAGCTGTTGGGGAGCAGAGTTTTATGGGGAGAGGGACAATAATAATAATGTTTTATACTTCTGGAGTCTGAATGTTCATGTATTACCTAGTCCCAGAAATATTTTTTCAGATGTGCTGTGGGAGCTTGTTTAAAGGATGTCAGTTTTGATTTATTTTGTTCACGAGTCATCCCAATTTCTTTGTGTGTATGTCCATATAGATGTGTTGTGTCTAGAGATTGCCTTTGGTTTTATAATGGTTTTTATGAGATGATGAAGGAATTCCATCATAGTGTTTGATCTGGTCCCAGCCCCCTCCTCCCAACTGCTCTGCTTCCCCTTCCGTCTCAGAACAATGCTGAGAGTTGAGAGAAACGAAAGAAAAAATAATTGAAGACATTTTGAAGTTCTCTTTCTCCCATCAGATAGACCTGTTTTTTATACTTTTTATTGAAGTATAGCTTATATGCAAAAATATGCAAAATTCCTAAGTGTACAGCTTAATAAATTTTCCCAAAGTGAAAACGTCTATCCACCTTCTGCTTCTAATTGAAGGTAAATGGCTGTTGCTGATTGTAAATGGTTAAGTTTGTTCACCAATTGTCTGAAAGGACTGTTCTCATTTCAAAGGAGAAAAAAATGCCTGTCTGTGAGATTTTAGTAAGCCATCTTTTAAGAGTGTTTATTTCTGTCTAAATCAAATACGAAAGACTTTCATCATCAAAATATTATACTGATATATGCCATAAGTATATCAAGTAATTAATGTTACTTAATTCTTACAACAACCTTAGAAGATACTATTATTCCTACATTAGATGGACAAGGAAACTAAAGCTCAGAGGGGCTAAATAGCTTGCCTGAGTTCTAACACTCAGGACATGGTGGAGCCTGCACTTAGGTAAGTGTCCTTCTAACTCCAGAGTCCAGCACTTGTGTTATGCCCTATTTTCGCCATGTGGACATGTAATGTATTTGCTGCATGGCAGAATATTGTCAGATTGTGTCACGATGCAGTGAAATGTTTGTTTTTTGTTTTTGATTTTTAAATCAAAGGTAAAGGGTATTATTTCAAGAATAAGTCAAAAGACCTCAAAAAAGTGTCTTCCTAGGATAAGGCTTTGGGGCAGCAGTCTGGTTGGAAGGCAGGGCATAGAAATTTGTCTCAAAGATGTGTTTTCATAGCATGAGCACTGTGTTTAGTTTGTATGTGTATTAGAACAACCTTGGAGTGGGGGCAGCTGTTTAAGATTATTGCAGGACTATAAGGAGCCCTGGTGGCACAGTGGTTGAGTGCTCAGCTGCTATCCAGAGGGTCAGTGGTTCGAACTCACCAGCCACTCAGCAAGAGAAACCAAAAAAAAAAAAAACCAAACCTATTTCTGTCATGTCCATTCTGACTCATAGCGACCCATTATGCTTCCATAAAGATTACAGCCTTGGAAATCCCTGTCGTGTAGGGTCACTATGAGTAGGAATCTACTTGAGGGCACCTAACAACAACAACATAAGGAGCCCTGAGGAGCCCTGGTGGCACAGTGGTTAAGCGCTGCTAACCTAAAGGTTGGCAGTTCAAACCCACCCAGAAGCTCTGCAGGAGAAAGACCTGGCAGTCTGCTCCGGTAAAGAGTACAGCCTAGAAAACCCTATGGGGCAGTTCTACTCTGTCACATGGGGTTGCTATCAGTCAGATTGACTCAACAGCACCTAACACCAAAGGCCCTAAGGCACTCCTGGTCTTGAGGCAAAGAGGTGGCATAAATTAGTTGAAAGTGTGCTGATTTTGCACCTGCCTTGAAAAAGGACTCTCTCCATTCGGGAAATTTTTTAAAAATGGTTTTTAATTTGCTTGTTCTTCTAGAAAACGTTTGCTAGGTATTTCATTTTAAGTTGTTTCATAGAGAATCTTGGCAGGATATTTCACAACAGCTTACCAGATTGAGTCTGCTGTTAGGGAAGCTTGGCGAACAAGTTGTTTGAAAGCTCTCATGCTTTTTTTTTGTTTGTTTTTTTTTTAATCCAAAAGCCTGTTGAACAATTTTATTTCTTAATAGAGTTGGAATAATGATCCACAGTTTCTTAAATACTCTCCTAGAATTTTAGTTTGTGGTATATTGAGGGAACAAGCAAGCCTCCTTAGGGTAGAAACATCTTGTACTGTTTACAGATTGGTCTCTTTCCTTCTCTTTTTGGCTTGGTGGTATTGCCACATTTGTGATCCACCACAACAAATGGAAACTGTATAACAGACGGTGTTAAAATTTGGGGAACTGTCTGTTTCCTGCTAAAAGTTGGTTTGATTTTTATTGCTGCTACAGAGTTTGTTAAAGTTTTGCTTTCAACAAATGTTCTAAATTTACCTGCAGCTAATAGAAAAGGGAAATTGGTGCATGTATTTTTCTTTCTGCAGCAGTTAAGACCTTCAGTAAAGTTACAGAACAGTTAAAAGTTAGCTTATGACTACCATATAATTTTGTTATAGAAACTGATGCTTTGAAAACTCTCTGATCTATGATAGATTTTAACCCCAAGAGGTCTTCCTGTCATTTGTGATTTATTTTGGTTCTGTTCCAAAAACAAGTGGGAAAATAGTCTTCAGCTGCTAAACAGCAAAAGATCTCATAATAACCTGTGTGTTTCTTTGGAGTACTAGTGTCCCAGACATTTAAACGAGTAATTAGAGTTGTCTCAATTTAGGGAGTGAAGTTGTGAATGTTGTAATTCTTTAAAGCAGTGGTTCTGAATCCTGGATGTACATTGGAATCACCTGGGAAGCTTTAATGATATGACCTGGTTACACCCGCCTCCCCCCCGCCCCGAGATTCTGATTTATTTGATCCCTTGTGGGCCCAGGTTTTGATATTTGTAGAAGTTTCCCAATATACAGCCAGGGTTGATAACAACTCAAAGAGTTGAGGGAGGTTTTCAAATAAAAGTCCCCATAGAGGAGAGGTTTTTGAGTTTGTTTAGACAGCCATTAAAAAAAAAAAAGTCATCAGCCAAGTGGAGTGTAACATTTTTGTTAGGACCGTAAGGATATGTCCAGTACCTTTTTTTCTTTCTTTCTTTCTATTGCTTAGAATTGTTTAAAAATGTAGTTGTAATTATTTTGTTGTTGCTGTTGAGAGTACCTTCTTTTCTTGAAAGGACGTAATAGATCTTATAGATAACTATTAGGAGTATGGCCATTTTATGAATAGCTCTGACCTTCCTGAAGCTTCCCTTTTAAATAGACTTTGGGAAGAGGTCTGGTTAAAATGACATAGAAGAAGCGAGGTGGATAAGGTTTGATGGTCTTCAGAGAAGAAGCCCAAAGAATAATGTCTGATCTTAATTTTGAAATAGTAACAAGATTATACATATCCTTATTGCCATAAGCTGCAGAAATTATTTAGGGTAGAAGGAACCAATTGTCAAATGATAGGCTTTAAATTAAATGATAGACTTTAAATTTGATCCCAATATTTTATTTATTTTTTAAGTCTAGGAAAATACAGCCTTGGAAATTTTGACATGCCTCCGTTTAAGAGGTAGGGAACCAGATTTCTATAAGGAATTTTAAAATGTGGGATTATAGTGTTTTTAGGTTCCTGATGACTCAGGTTTAAGCCAGTTGCTAATCTAGTTTAAAAGGCAGGAGTTTATTATGAGCCTGCAGCTGGAGCTTCTGGAGTGTGCATTTTCTTTTCATTTGTGGTAGTGAGGTACAGACTTAGACCTCTTACCTAACTGTACATAGACTTATGAAGATCCAGCATTAGTCTGTTTCTTGTATAGCGATTAAGAGCACCCTGGATAAATTAGAGATGAACAGTTTTGAAGGCACATTTTCATTTCAGTGGACTGGAAAAGGCCCAAGCTTTTCATGAAAGGAGCAGGTGACTCAGGAGGAGAAGACTATGTGGCTAAAACGGGAGTGAAACTGGGAAGGAGACTAGGTAACCTGGGAATCAGGAGTAACTGGCTATGGCCAAAAGAAGGTTTATAATAGACTGAGATTGGAGAAATCCTGAAAAAGATGATACTGAAAGTAATACCCCCACCTTCAAACACAACTCCTTACCTATTCTGTTGTTCTAAACAGAGCCAAGTAAATATGCTAACAAGACAGTACTGTACCATGTGGAAGGCTGACCATAATAGTGCATAGGTAAAGAATATGGACACCGGTGTCAGTTCAAGGTACAGTTCTATCACTTATGGCTTGCAGTGAATTATTTATTTCCCCTTGACTCAGTATTCCCCTGTATAAAATGGATATTCTAGTGTATCTCCCTTCAAGGATTTTGTGATGATTAAATAAGGTGATAATCCATGTAAAGCAATAAGCAAAATACATGGTGCATACTAAAGTGTCAATAAATGTTCACTAATAGAACAGCAGAGACAACAGCCATGTGGCCACTGTGCATGCCACTCTCTGCCCCATTTAGTCCATAAGAGTGAATAATCTCTTATATTGTGATGTTTTAAAGCCAGATTTAGAATGCATGCCTTTAAAATACATCTTAACAGAACACCTGGAAGGGACCTTAGGATCAGTCAGTACTCTTCTTTCTTTAAAGATGAGGAAAATAAGGTCACATCACTAAGGTTGGAGAAGGCCTAGGTTTTCTGGTTCACAATCTTTTATTTTTTACTGTGTGTTAAACCCATTGCTGTTGAGTTGATCCCGACTCATAGTGACCTTATAGGACAGGGTAGAACTGCTCCATACGGTTTCCAAGGCTGTAATCTTTATGGAAGCAGATCACCACACCTTTCTCTTGGGGAGTGGCTGGTGGGTTTGAATCACCGACCTTTTGGTTAGCAGTCAAGTGCTTAACCACTGCGGCATCAGGCTCCTTGCTACCTTCTAAATCAGAACTATGTGTCCCTTTTCATTCTTTTGTTTTTCTCTGTACTTCTTTTTAAATTGTGGTGTATATATATATATAAACAAAGCATTTGCTATTTCAACATTTTTTACATGTACAATTCATTGACATTAATTACATTAATCTTGTACCTTTTTATTCTTAATCACTTTAAAGGAAATTCATTTCCTTTTTGTGTTTAAAATTTTCCTTATTAAATGGTTTAAAAGTTACTAAATGTTTTGAACTGCAATTAAAATGATTGTTTAAAGCAAATAGAATGGCTCTGTTAGGAAACAAACTGTTAGTAGTGGTTGCCTCTGAAGGGGGGGTACTGGGGTAGAAGTGGCATTGATTATAGTGGTGTCTGACAAGGTGTACCTGAGACCTGTAAATTCTGGAGAGTATAGCAATCATTCCTGTGATCCACTTACTGCTGGTTAGTAGAACAGGACCAGGAATGTAGTAACAAGTATCCATAGCTGTCTGAAACTTGGGAACTATATAGATTCAGAAAAATGTTGTCGTCCTTCTCCCCACTCAGATTTCAGGAGCCAAATAGATTTAGAAAGGGAGGAATACTTTCGTTTCATTTTGGGCAAGTACAGGTCCTCCGAGTTAGGTTGGCAGGCCACCATCTCTGACTTAATGGGTGACCTTGGGCAAATTTTTTAACCCAATTCTTCATCTGTCAGTGGATGGAGATGATGAGCCTCTTCTGGCACATGGGGTTGTTGTAGAATAAAATGAAATTGTGTGAAAATGAACTCAATTCTGGACTCAGTTTTGATAGAAAATGACTAGGAGGTTAACTTAAACTCTTAGAAGTGTTTTAACAAGCTCATGTTCGTGTTAGTTGGCTTGCATATGAAGCATTGACCTCTCAAAAGACAGAGAGGAAAGACCAAATGATTATACTTACTTGTGACCAGTTTATATGATACCTTTCTTGTCTCCGTGTGTGTATTTTATAGTACAATTTTTGAGCCCCTGGTTTCAGTTTTAAAACCTGTTTTGTCATTTGGACACTGTATTTCCGACTAATTTCCTCTTTTCTGAAACAGGAAGAAACATTTTGAAATAAAATGATGCAAATGTGTTTTAGGGTTATTACCCATAAATCTTAGGACATAACATTCTTGAATGCAAGGATAATATCTATTTAGCACCTATAATATCATATATTTAATTTCGGTAATTAAATTCTTATAACAGAAGTAAGCTCTAACGTGTGTGCTGTACACATATTGTTTTAAACATTGAGGCTGCTTAGTTGTAATGAAACCATAAATATTTTCAGTCTATCAGACTTTGTTGTTTGTTGTTAGGTGCCATTGAGTCAGTTCCGACTCATAGCGACCCCATGTACAACAGAACGAAATACTGCCCAGTCCTGCACCATCCTCACGATCGTTGCTATATTTGAGCCAGTTGTTGCAGCCACAGTGTCAATCCATCTCACTGAGAGGCTTCCTCTTTTTCTCTGACTCTCTACTCTACCAAGCATGATGCCCTTCTCCAGGGACTGTTCCCTCTTGTTAACATGTCCAAAGTATGTGAGACACAGTCTCACCATCCTCGTTTCTAAGGAGCGTTCTGGTACTTCTTCCACGACAGATTTCTTCGTTCTTCTGGCAGTCCATGGCATATTTAGTATTCTTCGCCAACACGATAATTCAGAGGCATTAATTCTTCTTCCGTCTTCCTTACTCATTGTGCAGCTTTCGCATGCATATGAGGCAATTAAAAATACCATGGCTTGGGTCAGTTGCACCTTAGTCCTCAAGGTGATATCTTTGTTTTTTTTTTTAACTTTAAAGAGGTCTTTTGCAGCACATGTGCCGAATATAATACGTTTGATTTCTTGACTGCTGCTTCTCTGGGCATTGATTATGGATCCAAGTAAAATGAAATCCATGACAACTTCAATATTTTCACCATTTATTGTGATGTTGCTTATTGGTCCAGTTGTGAGGATTTTTGTTTTCTTTATGTTGAGGTGTAATCCATACTGAAGGCTGTAGTCTTTGATCTTAATAAATGCTTCCAGTCTTTACTTTCAGCAAGCAAGGTTGTGTCATCTGCATGTTGCAAGCTCCTCCAGTCTTCTTCACACAGTCCAGCTTCTTGGATTATTTGCTCAGCATACAGATTGAATAGGTATGGTGAAAGAATACAACCCTAACACACACCTTTCCTGATTTTAAGCCATGCAGTATCCCCTCGTTCTGTTTGAACGACTGCCTCTCGGTCTATATACAGGTTCCACTTGAGCACAATTAAGTCTTCTGGAATTCCCATTCTTCGTAGTGTTATCCATAATTTGTTATGATCCACACAGTCAAATGCCTTTGCATAGTCAGTAAAACAAAGTAAACATCTTTGTGATATTCTCTGCTTTGAACCAAGATCCATCTAACATAAGCAGATTTCCCTTGACTAGCAGACTTAGTCAAAGAAAATAACAAAGTACCTGACATTATTGTCTATGGGCAGGAACTTTTCTTAAATTTTAGAAGATATTATTTTATGGGTAAATGTTTCTTTCAGAAATAGGATATTTACATAGTCTTGAGGTATCGTCCCCACAAGATATTTATTAAATACTAAGGGAAAAACAGTAACTTTACAGTGGAGAAACCTAGTAGATACCACCATATAATATCAGCAGTAACGGGATAAGTAGGTATTTTGGGTCTGCTGATAACGATGTTGCACTAAGCAAGGGGCGAAGTGAGTAAATCCCACCTTCATTGCTAATTTTGTGGTAAGGATCAGTATGAATCAAATCCCCAAAATGTGGGGACAGATCCAGTCTTCACTTTCCTACTTCTGTATCCTCATTGCCAGCCACTCATGCAGCACACTCTGTCGCTGACCCTAGCTACCTGGAGATGTTCAAGCCTTACTAGTTAGAAGGACACTTTCAGTCTGCCAAATAGGCAGACAACACCTCCTGCTGGCTCTCACTACCCCTGTAGGTTTGATAATTCGCTGGAACAACTCAGAGAATTCACAGAGAATACACCAAACAGCTACAGATTTCCTATGACCAAAAACAATACAAACAAAGAGATGCATAGGATGAGGTCTGGGAAGGTTTCTAGCATGGAGCTTCCATGTCTCAAGGAATATGCATGGTCACCAACAAGGAAGCTCATCTGAGTCTCAGGGTTCAGGGCTCTGAGGGGCCTCTCCACATGACCATGATAGATTAAGTTGTGCCTCCTGAGATGTAGTTAACACTGGGCCCCCAGGTGGTTCCTACTTGGTCTGGTCAGTGCCTATTCATTAGCCTCAGGTGTGGTCCACCTCAGAGGAACCGAGAAGAAAGACCAAATTGCTTTTTGCAAGGTGATTCCACACCTTGCAGATGTGCTTGGGAGGACACAAATAATTTCTGCGGTATTCCTGCCAAAAATGCATAAACTAAATCTAATCATGAGGAAATATCTTCCAAACCCTAATTGAGGTACATTCTACAAAACAAATGGCCTGTACTTTTCAAGGTCATGAAAGTCAAAGACTAAAGAACTGATCCAGGTTAAAGGAGACGAAACTGTCCCATATCAATAGAGTTGTCACGAAGAAACATAACTAAATGAAACCTATTACCATGGATTGGATCCTGGACCAAAACAAGTTTTGTTTGTTATAAAGAACATTAGTGGGACAACTGGAAAAATTTGAATGAGGTCAATAGATTTGATAATAGTACTGTATCAATGTTAATTTACTGGTTTGATAATTGTACTATTTTTATGCAAGATAATATTTGTGTATTAGGAAATACACACTCAAGTATTTAGGGTTCAAGGATTAATATGTCTACCACTTTCAAACAAATTAGAAAAAAATAATACAGAAAGAGAATGATAAAGTAGCTGTGATGAAATGTTAACATTGAATATGGGTAAAGGGTGTATTAAAATTCTTTGAATTTTTTTGGCAACTTTTCTATAAAGTCTGAAATTATTTGAAAATAAGCTAAGAGAAATGGTAACTTAAGTTTGCCACTAATTAACTGATTTTTTAGCAAATTGTTTCAAACCCTTTCTAGGTCAGTTTTCTGTGTTTGTAAAATGAGATGCCTGGACTCATTTTAAGCATCCTTCCAGATTTAAAATTCTGTGATCCTATGAATAGATGTTTAGTAGTAGTGATAGCAATCATAATAAACAAGTAATAATTTATAGTCTGACTGGATCCATGTTTGAAGATGAATTTTTCACCTGAGTCAAAAATTGTTGTTAAACAAGGTTTATATGTCAGGTGACAGTTTAATATTTATTAAGCTCATAAAGGGTACTTTTTTTCTGTCAAAGAAATTTTGAGATTTTAATTGTGCAGTTCTTTTTTATGTCACTTCTTGGTTCATGCTTGTACATTAATTGATCTCTTTTTTTAATTTAACTGTATCTTAAAAATGTACTTTTATAGGATTTTCCAATGATGTGGGTATTAAGACCCAGAATAGATAGTTTATTCAGTCTCAATAGATAACGTATTCTCTCCAGACTAGAAGGATTGTTAAGATACAGGTAGCTGATGATGTAAAAACCAAATTGATGTTCAATATAAAATATTTTTTTTTTGCATTCATCAAAGATAAAACTCAGTTAATCTTTTTTTATTTTTCTTATCCCCACCCCTCCCAGCTTGGTGATCCAGCTATTTTTCCTGCTGTAATTGTGGAACATGTTCCTGGTGCCGATATTCTCAACAGTTATGCTGGCCTAGCCTGTGTGGAGGAGCCCAATGACATGATTACTGAGAGCTCGCTGGATGTTGCTGAAGAAGAAATCATAGATGATGATGATGATGACATCACCCTTACAGGTGCATGTGCCTCCAGTAGACCTCACTATAGGACAGTTTTAGGGAGTGTGCCAGGCCTATGGTTTTTGGAGTACAAAAAGTCTCTAACTTTTGGGTAGATTTTGAGTGACTTCATTACCTGCGAAAGTTAGAGACCTGCAGGAGAAGGAAATTACTTTTTCTTTCTCATCGGCCTGTATTTCATACTGCTTTCTTGCCTCCCCTTTCTTCTTTCCTACATATATTGAGATGAACATGGCAAAACAGGGTGTGTGTAAGATAGTCCAAACCTGTTTGGCTGATCAAATCTTTACTGAGTACTTCTCATATGCCTAGCTCTGTATTTCTGATAAGTTGTTTGTAGGGAAATAGATGGGAATATTCTTTTTTTTACTCTTGCCACAGGGAGCAAACCAGGAAGCTATGATCCAAATGTAAGATAAGGTCCTGGTGTTTACAAAAGATTTCTCTTCTGGTTTTGTTGGAACTAGTAAGCTATTTCAAACTGGAAGGTAGACTGTAGAAGTGTGAGGTGCAGTGGTAGTAATATTTTTATAACTTTTAGAAATTGGTACATACATTTGTATTTTGTACATTTACATTCATACATCTTGTCCAACGACATTGGGGATATTTGGGAAGATTATTTGGAACTAAAGGTTGTTTGAATATTTAGTCTTAGACATTAAAAAGTTTACCAGAGATAGGCATAATGAGGTATATCTGTAGATTTCATAGTGGCAAACTTTATTTATTTATTTATTTGTTATACTTTAGATGAAGGTTTATAGAACAAACTAGCTTCTTATTAAACAGTTGGTACACATACTGTTTTATGACATTGGTTAACAACCCCACAACATGTCAACACTCTCCGTTCTCGACCTTGGGTTCCCTATTATCAGCTTTCCTGTCCCCTCCTGTCTTCTAGTCCTTGCCCCTGGGCTAGTGTGCCCCTGTAGTCTCATTTTGTTTTATGGGCCTGTCTAATCTTTGGCCGAAGGCTGAACCTCAGGAAAGACTTCATTACTGAGCTTAAACGGTGTCCGGGGGCCATATTCTCAGAGTTTCTCCAGTCTCAGGCCAGTAAGTCTGGTCTTTTTTTGTGAGTTAGAATTTTGTTCTACATTTTTCTCCAGCTCTGTTCAGGACCCTCCATTGTGATCCCTGTCAGAGCAGTCAGTGGTGGTAGGCAGGCACCATCTAATTTTGCTAGAGTCAGTCTGGTGGAGGCTGTGGTAGTTGTGGTCCGTTAGTCCTTTCGACTAATCTTTCCCTTGTGTCTTTGGTTTTCTTCATTCTCCCTTGGTCTCGACGGGGTGAGACCAGTAGAGTATCTTAGATGGCTGGTCACAGGCTTTTTTTTTTTTTTAAATTTTTTCCCATACAAAAATTTATACATACATTATTATGTGACTCTAATTGCTCTCCACATACTGTGACAGCACGCTCCTCCTTTCCACCCTGATACCCCATGTCCGTCCATCCAGCTCCTAAACCTCTCTGCCTTCCCATCTCACCTCTGGACAGAAGCTGCCCGTTTAGTCTCTTGTGTCTACTTGAGCTAAGAGGCACACTTCTCATGAGTATCACTTTATGTCCCACAGTCCAGTCCAATCCCTGTCTGAAGAGTTGGCCTTGGAAATTGTTTTAGTTCTGGACTGATAGAGAATCCAGGGGCCGTGTTTTCTGGGGTTCCTCCAGTCTCAGATCATTAGGTCTGGTCTTCTTACTAGAATGTGAATTCTGCACCCCACCTTTCTTCTCCATCCCGGACTCTCTGTTGTGCTCCCTGTCAGGATGTTCATCTGTGGTAGCCGGGCACTGTCTAGTTCTTCTGGTTTCAGGCTGATGAAGTCTCTGGTTTATGTGGACCTTTCTGTCGCTTGGGCTAATACTTTCGTTGTGTCTTTGGTGTTCTTCATTCTCCTTTACTCTAGGTGCTTGGGACCAACTGATGCATCTTAGATGGCTGCTTACAAGCTTTTAAGACCCCAGACCGCACTCACCAAAGTAGGATGCAGAATATTTTCTTAATAAGCTTTGTTATGCCAGTTGACCTAGATGTCCCTTGAAAGCATGGTCCCCAGGATCCCACCCCTGCTACTCTGTCCCTCAAAGTGTTTGATTGTATTCAGGAAACTTCTTAGCTTTAGTTTAGTCCAATTGTGCTGACTTCCCCTGTAGTGTGTGCCGTCCTTCCCTTCACCTAAGATAATTCTTATCTACTATCTAGTTAGTAAATAACCCTCACCCTCCCTCCCCACCCTCTTAATGGTCAAAGAATGTTGTCTTCTGTGTTTAAACCTTTTCTTGAGTTCTTATAATAGTGGTCTTATGCAATATTTGTCCTTCTGTGACTGACTAAATTCACTCAGCAAAATGACCTCCAGCTTCCTCCATGTTATGTTTCACAGCTTCATCATTGTTCTTTATCATTGTGTAGTACTCCATTGTGTGGATATACTATAATTTGTTTATCCATTCTTCCGTTGATGGGCACCTAGGTTGTTCTATCTTTTTGCTATTGTGAAGAGTGCTGCAGTGAACATGGGTGTGCATGTATCTATTCGTGCGACGGCTCTTATTTCTGTAGGATATATTCCAAGGAGCGGGATTGCTAGATCGTATGGTACTTCTATTTCTAGCTTTTTAAGGAAGTCCCAAGTCTATTTCCAAAGTGGTTGTACCATTTTACATTCCCACCAACAGTGTATAAATGTTCCAGTCTCTCCACAACCTGTCCAGCATTTATTATTTTGTGTTTTTTGGATTAATGCTAGCCTTGTTGGGGTGAGATGCTATCTCATTGTAGTTTTGATCTGCATTTCTCTAATGGCTAATGATCGTGAGCATT